TTCAAGGGTATGAGGTAACAGTTGCTGGCTGGGGTGTAACTTACCAGGTAAAGGCTGATGATCTCTATTTTCTACTGTTAAAGAGGTTTTGTTTGTTTGTTTGTTTAAACATTTTATCACTTCTATTTTGAATGAGGGTTTCCATTTATCAAATGTATTTTATTCATTTTTCAGATTATTCATGTAAATATTTCCTTTAGTCCTTTAATGTGGTGAATTATTTTGATAGGTATATTCCAAAGTTCAGTCATCCTTGCATTTATGGTGTAAGATACATCAATCATTGTTATTTTAAAATATATACTGTGTATTTTGGTTAACTAATATGTTATTTAGAAATTTTAAATTTGCCTTAATGTTCATAAGTGAAAGGGAACCATAATAGTCTTTCATTATACTATTCTTACGTGGGTTTACAATCAAATTTCCTTCTTATTCTGTTTTGTTTAACTTGTACGAACAAGGCTCATTTCTTCCTTAACTTTGTCACACCTATCTATAAAACCACCTGTACCTGTTGTACTTCCTTTTATCCCATTTCCCCACGCTTTCTAAATTGGTTCTACAGATTAATGGGTTCTATTTTGGCAGATCTGTACATGCACATAACATACTCAGGTGATTATGTTCCCCATCACTTCTTTTGCCCCATGCTCCCATGGAGTCCACATTTGGGGGAAGGGGTTTCAATGCGTATACTTTGCTCAGATTGATTCCCCTACTATATCCCCGCATACCCCAACTCTGTTCTCTTTCCCTTTCTCATATTTTTGTTTGTTGATTTGCTTGTTTTACTGAATCATAAGTTTAGGATGGCTGATCCAATGTTGCAGAGCTGGAGGGGGTGATCAGGCGATTGGGAAGGGGGTGAACAGGGGATGGGGAAAGGGCTCCCCAGGAGCAGGGGTTAGGGCAGGGTGTTCTGCTCAGAACACATCTCACCCTCCGAGCAACTTAAGTTTTTGAGATTGTGGTGTAGGCAATGGAATGTAGAGGAGCAGGAGTTGGGGGTTATGTTGTTAGATTAGGACTGGGGTTTTGATACCATTTTACTCTCTTTAATGGTTACTATATTTACATTTTCTACATTCTTTTGTCCCCTTTCCATTTCTTATTTTTAGATATTATATGCTCAATTTAAAGCAACTAATTTTCAGGATAATCTCTTATTATTTTAAAATTTTGTTTGTGTGTGTCACTATTTTTTCCTTTTAATTACACATTCAACTTGAATTTTCTCTATTTTTGCCTGATTGGTCTTTTCAGAACTTTGTGTCTTTTAAAGGATGAGTTTTGTTTTGTTTTTGTCTTGTGTTTCATTCATTTATTTATTATTTTCTTTCTTCTTAGGGTTGACTGTTAAGTGCTCAGTAAGTGAAAATTTAATTATAATCAATTGTATTTTATTTTCTTATCAATGTGGCCAAAGTTGTAGTTTTCTCTAAATTGAAACTAAAATTGTGATCTAGAAATTTTGATATTTTGTGTTTTTGTTGCTATTCTGTCAAAGGATTTGTTAGTTTTCTTTATGATTTCCTCTTTACTTGGAGTTCTTTAATAACAAGATTTTGTTTTTAAATTTTTGGATATGATTTTTACAGCTACTTTTAAGAATGTATTTAACCTTCTTACTAGAAAATGATGGTCACATTGATTTTTAGAATTTTTTGATGACATTTTGTAGATTTAATATTTATATCTGCTTAGGAAGAATGTGTGTTCTCTGTAATATATGTATTTCTAGATATCTGAATTAGTTCAAGTTTATAACTCACGCTTTGCTTTAAAATCCTTTATGTCTTAGTTAATTATATATTTTATCAGCTCTATTTATGCCTCCCCGCATTATGGAAAGTTTAGCTGTTGCTTTAAAGATGTCAAGCTTATATTTTTTAGATTCAGCTATCTTCATGGTTATTGTATCTTTTGGTACCAGTATGTGGTACTGGTACCATTTTGATGTTTTTACTTTCAAATTTTATTTTGTCTGGATATTGAAATTTTGATAGATATTTTCACATTGACCACAAAAAAGACTACACTTGGGCTGGGGATTTAGCTCAGTGGTTCTGCCACCTGCCTCACAAGCACAAGGACCTGAATTCGATCCCCGGTACCAAAAACAAAGCAAATCAAAACAAAAACAAAAACAAAAAGGCTACACTCACATACTTCACTTGACTTATACTTGGCTTATGAAATTCGTTGTTTCCCCACACTCTCTTCATGTGACACAATTTAAAGCCCATGTTCTAGTTTTCAGTCTGTATTTACAGTTTTGGAAATTGGATATGAAATGCACCTGAAGTATATTAATACTGGCACTTTTAATCCTAATTTCACTGCCTTTCATATTCTAACCACAGTGTCCTTAACTGAGTCATTGAGGGCGGCACCCTGACTACACTGAAGGATGGTGCTCAGGAATTTTGACTTAAAAATTATTCATTAAGTCACATTTCACTCTTCCTGTTGGGGTTGCCCCAGGACTGGGTCTTCTCTGATGAAAGGGCTGGCTCAGTCTCTCCCCCTCATGTGTGTCATTTGGCATCCGCTGTGAACAGTGTGTAGACTGTTTCCTGCTGTCAGTTACCTTGAACCATTTAAAGGTGTGAGGATGGGCAGCTGTGGTCTTCTGCTTGCTGGAAATCTAAGAGTCACTGAGCCCAAGATATAAGGAAGCAGAGGCCCAAATAGGTGAGCAGGATTCAGTCTAATCCTGCTGCCCTGTTTCAGGTTCTATTTTTTGTACCTAGGTGCCTGAATTCAAAGCATGATTTGGGAGGCTGTGCTGCACTGATTTCCAGTACTGACCCTGGCCTGAATGACTCTTGAATTCTGCTACATGACTTGTGAGCTGTCAGTGGAGTCTGCTGTTGCCCCAAGGCCATGATGTGACGTCTTTTTCGGGAAGTTACATCGCCAAGGGAACTCATATCTCTTGCCCCCCATGAGGTTCCTCTTAACATTCCTCTCAGCCTCTGTCTGACTTTCTTTCACTCCCACCTCCCACATGCTCACTTTGTGCCTTCATAAATAGCTAGGCTCCTTGAAAAGCTTCTAAAAGCTTAAAGGTAACATCCTTTGCTTCTGTAGAGTATTTTATAGTCTTCAAAGCACTTCCATATACATATTATCATTTGATCTTCACAAAACCTTTCATTTATGTAGGTTAGGCATATTATCCTGATTTCACCGATGACGAAATACGGTCCGTAATTAGGTGACTTCCCCATCCTCAGATACCTTGTTAATGTGAGACTGTTGAAAGCCCAGTTTGCTGATTTCATTCATTTATTATTTCTTAATTCATTTATCCACTCATGCTGAGAAGTGGTCCCAAAATAGAAAAAAGAAATCATTTGGAGTCAGACCAGCTTGGATTTGACACTTGATATAATCCTCTACTTGTTATATAATCTTGATCACATACTTAACTTCTCAGATCAGTTGCCTCATTTGTAGCATAGGGAAAAATTTTGACTTATGATGTGTTAATCAAGACCAAATAATGCAACAAAATTACCTGGCAATAAGTGTGTAAATGTGCCTGGCACACAAGAAGTTGAACTATTATAGATAAAAATGGTCCAATATCAGCAGTTTTATAAATGGTCTAACCTAGTGGTCGAAACTTAATATTGACTATCTTTTATTGAGTAATTCTCTATTTATTATATATGAGGTATTACTAGATCCCAAAAATGTGAATAGAAATGAGACAAGATATTCCGTATGTGTTCGAATATTCTGAAAGACTTTAGCCCTGCAGTGTAGAGCCTATATCTGCTGCATTCTTAGCATCTTGAAGGTAGCAGATGCTTGATAAATAAATAATAAATCTTCCTGAATGAAGAAATCTTTGCCCACGAGGATGTTACTAACCAGTTAAGATAGGCAGACACATGATCATATAATTCTAATAAACTGCCCATGAGGAGATGATCAACCATTTAAGACGGGCAGACAAATAATCACATAGTATACTGGCACTGTTAATTAGATAGACATCTGCAGGTTTTGGGGTGAGTTCAAAGGAAGCAATGTTCAGCTCTACCTGGGGCGCATGAAATGCAGTGAGGGGGGGCCCGCAGCTTCAGAGAGCAGATACATTAAGACTTCTTGTGGTCCATTTGAGGAAGGGAGCAAGAGCATTTTGCTTATCTCGGACTACATGCTTTCTCTCAACCACCGCCTTTCTAACATCTGAAATTGAGTTTGTATTCAAAGCAGCCTCTTTGTCTCACAGACCCTCTGTTATTGGTATCTCCCTCCCATAATGTATTGCTTTGTAAAGTGCTTTGCTCTGCTCTCAGTAGAAAAGAGATGCTCGGTAAAGCAGTCTATTCTTTGAGTGTCACACTAGCCATTGCATAACAAAGTGTAATATATTGTGTGAGAAGCAATACAGGAACACAAGAGATATTTTAAGGGAGCAAATAAAACCTCAAAGTGGGTGAGTGTAGAGTGCATTAAAGTTAATAAACTGTCATGGCAGACAGGACCACTTTTAAATGTAAAGGAATCTAATTTAAGGTCTTGTAACTGTAGGGTTAGAATCCTACTGGAATGAAGTTAGCTGCTAGTTTTGCCAAATTCTACATCCTTTGGCTCTCCTGGAGTACCAGTCCTCAGGCCTTGGAATTGAACAGTATATATATTCTCCGGCTCTTTGAAGTGCTAAATCTAATCTGCTCAACTCCCTCCATACTGTTGCTTTGCTTTAAACTCTGGGAGGATGAATTTAAGTCCTGGTTCTTCTGGTACTTGGGGTACAGCCCCTCAGCCTGAATTTTCAGAGCTCACAGAGTTATTTCCTCTTTCCATAGTGTCACGGGGGCCTGGGGACTGACAGGAGTCAGCTTTGCTGTGGCGTGCACCACTGAGCTACTGGTCTATCTGCAAAAGCGAGACAAGTCGATCGATGCAGGTCCCCTTCTTGGCAGTAGTGAAGGATGACTACAACACCAAGGGTTCCAGAATGTTTTCTGCCAAGAACTGGATTGGATTTTGTGCTTCTGCAGCCACAAAATGTCCCCATCATCTTACTCCCGAATTATTAATGCCTTTTGTGGTCAGTGTCCTCAGCGTGAATACTTCCTCATCCTTCTTTATTTAACACCTTCGCTTTCACTTCTTTTATTTTTGTTAGCCAGACTCACAATTTTTTGTTCTCCTAATATCTCACCTATTTGTTGTTCAAACAAACAAGGAATGATTAATGAGCATCTTCATCTTTGATTTTTTTGCTCTCTGTCATGTAGAAGAAGAAGAATCCCAGATTCTGGTTCCGAATGCAGTTTGTAGTGTACTTCTTTGGTGTATAAGAAAGCTTTGCTTCTGTAGTGATATTCTGAAACTGAACAGTTACATAACTGTTTTGAGGTTCAGTTTCTACATTTGGGAAATGGGAATAAAATGTCTAATTTACAGGGTTCCCAGGAGAACCAAGGAGATTGCATATAAGAGGTACCTAACACAGTGTGTACCACATGACAAGTGTATAATAGATGACTATTTAAAACAGACCAACAAATGCAGGACTCACTCTGTTAAAATAAGAGTGGCTTCTGGAGAACGAACAGAAACAAAAGAGAAATGACCAGTACTTAAATTCTGCAGAGCTCTGTGCTGCCTAGCATAAGATTCAGGGTTGTATGTGGAAGTAAAAGAGCAAGAATTCTTTGTAGGGGAAAGGTGGTAAGGTTTACACACATAGAGAGCCAGTCATTTTAGGGAAGCCACTGCCATGAGAGCTCATTAGAAAAAAATGGAAATTTTTCAAAGGTGGTTCTAACATTACTTCATCTCTTAATAGTATTTGTCTAAGTTACCATGTTTTAAAGCATAAAGAGATCATAATAATACTTTTCCTTATAATACTGTAATTGATGATATAAGAGGCACTGTGATACAATGGAATACAAACTGTAATAGAAAAGTCAAAAGCTCTGGGTTCAAGTTTGTTTTGCTTAATTGGCTCATGGTCTTGAACAGGTCAATCAGTTTCTTTGAACTTTGACATCAACAACTATAAAATGAGGGTAATGATATTCTTATTTTTTCCCCACTGGCTTTTTATAGGGACCAATTATAAGGATCACTTGAAGATACTGGCCATATATTGGCTGTTCTCGTAATTCAGTATTAGGGACCAGAAGAGATGCTAAAGCTTTTACTAGCTCTTGCCCTCTGAGAGGCAGACACAAGGCAAAGGCAGCAAGAATGAGGGGCTTCCACAGGTATGGTTCCCTGTGTGCAGCTTTTCCAAGCTATGTTTTGTTGCTGGCCGCTGTTGAGCCCCTTTTGCTGCTCACCTGGCCAGGAGCAGTTGGAGGATGTGTTCTAACCACAGTGCCAGGGGTCATCAGCAACAGCGAGGCCCCTGATGCAGACTCCAAGTGGGCACTTGGCATGAGCACCTGAGTCCCTTGCATCCTCTTTAACTTGTGTATCTCTGTCCATTTGCTGCTGGTGACCATTGTAGCAGCATCATTTATTGTCTTGCTCAAAGATACCTGGAGCTTTTGAAAGTTTCTTCTTCTTCCATTCTGCTGAGCAAACACCAGTGATTAGAGACTGAGTAGTCAAGAGAAGGTAGGTTGGATAATCCATAGAAGAAAATAAGGCCCTTGACTTGCAGTATTCAACTTCTTCAAATATGGGTCATGGAGTGTGGGTCGTATTTAAACCATTCTCTCCCTTTGTCATTCTAGGGAGTCGACAAGTTAAAGATGAAGCCCAGTGCAGAGTGCTGTTCTCCCAAGTTCTGGTTGGTGTTGGCTGTCCTGGTCGTGTCAGGCAGCAGAGCCCGTTCTCAGAAGAGCCCCCCGAGCATTGGCATCGCTGTCATCCTCGTGGGCACTTCAGACGAGGTAGCCATCAAAGATGCCCACGAGAAAGATGATTTCCACCATCTCTCCGTGGTGCCCCGAGTGGAGCTGGTAGCCATGAATGAGACCGACCCAAAGAGCATCATCACCCGCATCTGTGATCTCATGTCTGACCGGAAGATCCAGGGTGTGGTCTTTGCTGATGACACAGACCAGGAAGCCATCGCCCAGATCCTCGATTTCATCTCCGCTCAGACTCTCACCCCTATCCTGGGCATCCACGGGGGCTCCTCCATGATAATGGCAGATAAGGTAAAGGAGGGCTGCTGCGAGAAGAGCCTGGGAGGGGAGGCTTGTGTTGAAGATGCAATGATACGTTTACTTTAGGGCAAAAGTAGGTTGTTAAAAATAGAAATTAACTGGGATGCATTGAGTGAGTACATTGGCCAGATTGTTTTGAGATGAAGGAGAGAGAAAGACACGGGTGTATAGAGGCTTCTATAATTTAGAACTGGCCGTGTTTCCTTTTGTTGGTGCATGGACTTGACGAAGGGATTAAGAAACGTTGAAGCTTGTCGTTCTGATATATTTTCTTCAATTAGGTGTCTGAATAGGTCTCTCGAATTTTTAAAACAAGGCATGCTTAGTTTTCCTTAGTAGTGTATCTTCTCCACTGAAATGGTTTTGTGAAAATACAAAGGCAGGTAACGGCTTTCCGCAAAGTCATAGATGTCATAGGGAAGGAACAGCATCCACGTTCATCATTCACATCGGGCTGTACGTCCAGGTGGCTCTGAATCCCTGGAGCTGTCTCTGCCACGTTTCCCTATGCTGCGATTTGAAGGCAATGATTCTCAATCTCGTTTGCACATTGGAATGGCCTGAAGAGCTCTCAACACTACTGATGTCTGCTCCCCACCCCCAGAGGCTCTGATTATTGGCCTGGGCTTCAGGGCTATGAAAAGCTTCCTAGGTGATCATAGCATGCAGGTAGGGTTGAGAATTATTGCTTTCAAGCCCCGTCTAAATCCTAGTCTCTCTGACATTAATATCGAATTGTCTACTGACAGACTATCATGTGAAATTCGTGCTTAGTCTCCAACTACAGAGGAAGTGTATTGTTTTGTTTTTACATTTTTAGCCATTCATCATGTTTCCTTGCTTTGTTGATTAGTAGGTGCAACACTTCTCACACACACAATATATATATATATATATATATTGTCCTCTGTGGCCATTTATAACTACAATGATTCACTGTACCACAATCGCCATATTCTTCTCTTTTTATCACTTTGTATTTTTAAACTTGTCTCTTCTGAACATTGACATCTTAAACTTCTTATTATCACTTTCAAAACTACCTTCAGTTTTGTACTTAAAAGTCATGCTGTGGGGTTAATGATGTCCCTAAACACTTGAAACCCAGCATGGGTACCACAAGCTGCCTCTGGTTGCCTGAGAACCACCCGCGCTGCAGCTCGGCCTTGTGGGTCCACTGTCGCCATCTGTCGGCGGCAGGCAGCGATGACTAGCTTGTGGGTCAGCTGTGCTTTATTCCGTCTGGGAGAGGTCAAGTTCAAGGTATGGCGGATGGAAGGGAAGAGAAAGAAGGGGAAAAAATAACTAAGACATATTGTGGTACAAATTCCCTATGATGGATGTGATCATTATGTATGTCAAAAGTGCACTAATACATTAATTTAAAAAAAACAAAGCATGCAATGGAGAAACTTCAGAATCATACGAGAAAGAGATTCATCCATTCCTGTGGGCACGGTTGGAGATGTTAGAGAGCACATGTAGGAAAAGGAGCCCATGCTACGGGAAGAGGAAAAAACTCCAAATGGGAAATGCGCTGACTGAGGCAAAACCCGTGTAATTTTTGCTTCAGGTAAACATTGCTCTAAAATATTATTGTCCTTAGTAAATCATATTTTATTTTAGTAGTGGGATTTTGACAACATAATATTGCATTAAGATAATGTGGATATGGATAAGAGTCAAATATTTAAATCCTAAATAAGTGCATACTTCTTTTGAGAGTACTAGAGGTAAAAACGATTTTTTTTTCAAATATGGGCTATTGTACAATCTGTTTTATTTCCTCCCAGAAGAAAAGATTATGCCTAAACTGGTTGAATGTGTCTCTCTGGTACCTTTACAAATTTATAACATGAATGTAAAAGTATGAGCTAACATGCAGCCCAGGCGGAGAGGGTGGACTGTTGTTCTCTGGTGTAACCCAGGTGCTTTGAGAGTGTTCGCCATATGCTAGGTCATTTTATGAGCTAAAACATTATTTAATCTGTCTCTTACAGTGAGGGAGACTGAGGCTCTGAGAGATTGAAAAACACATCCAAAATGACATGTTCAAAGCAAACTTCCCACTCTCCCCTTTCTCCTCTGTATGTGATGTTGTGGGGGATGCCATGTGTCTGGAAAGTGAGTCCTAACTAGGCAGTATGGAAATCTAGCCCCGGGAGGGGACTGATAAGCAGTGCTTAGGTGTGGCGCAGCCCCCCAGGAGGCCCATTGGCTATTCTCTCTAGGGGCAAAGGGCAGAGCTGAAAGCAATGGAGCGTCTCTTAGGTCACTGCAGTGAGACCTCACTCTGGTCACTTCTCCTCTTCCTCTCCCCATTGCTACTGCATCCCTGCTTTTATCCTGTCGTTTTCTCTCTCCATTAATAAGTGATTTTTAGATCATTTCTTAAAATAATCTACATTGTATCTAGCTGGCTTTAGAGCCAAAGAGAAGCATTTCTAAAAGGTAGGCAGCAAGAGGAAAAGAAGGAAGTCCTGACAGCCAGAAAGTTGGATAACTGCATGGTGGCTGCAGAGGAGAACACGGCAGCCGTCATAGGCACCAGGAGGGTTCAGCACCAAGATTCCTGTGGCCAAAGAATTTGCATGAAGGCCAAAAAAGAGGCCCTCAGCTAAGTGTGGTGGCACATGCCCATAATCCCAGCTGTTCTGGAGGTTGAGACAGAAAGATTGCAAATTCAAGGCCTGCCTGGGCAACTTATAGAGATCCTGTCTCAAAATAAAATTTTTAATGAGTCCTGGGGGTGTAAGTTAGTGCTAGACCCTTGCAGAGAATGTGCAAGGCCCTGGGTTTAACTCCCAGTGCTAGGGAAAAGAAAAGAGTCTCCCAGATCTTAGAGAAGGTTTTGAACAAGTTTCATAACTAAATCATCTCAAAATCTAAAGTTAGTTTAAAAACAAAATAAAACAAAAACACTAGAAATGTGTTTTTCTGTATCATGGCTATGATTCACCATCATAGAATGGGGACATACAGCTTGACAGCTTTTAATCAACAATGCATCGGTGAGACAAGCGTTTGAAAGTAGAGATAGCTTGACTGTGTTTGGGACTCACAGTGACCATCTGAAGGCTGATAAATAAACCTCACATTTCACATACTCATTTAAGATACAAGTAATTGCCACTTCATTAAATTTTTTTTGTTGTGAGTTTGTTCAGCATAAACCCCGCTTATTAAGTGCTCTTGTCACAGATTGCACTACAGGGATAAAATCCCTCTTTTGAAAGAGTTTTTGATGTAGAGAAGACAGCACTGTTGTAAAAGACTTGATGAAATAATAGAGACACAGTTCAGCACTTCAGCATCTGGTCAAATAGCATGTGTTCACTTTTTTGCATATGCTAATTAATCAGTAAAAACATTAATTGGTGCTCTGCTTTCTAGATGAAAAAATATACATTTTACTGGTGTGAATAAACTATAAGAGTACACAAGATCCTAATGATATAATGGACAATGTGAAATAAGAAGAAAGGGGCTAAAGGTGTAGGGAAAGTGGGAAGGGTAGGGGAAGGCTAATAAGGGAGAAGAAAAAAATATGAGAAAATGAAGAAATAAATGAAGTGTTTGTAAAGGCGGAGGGAGGAGGGGCGAAGGGAGGGCAGGGACAAGAGGAAAAAATGAGAACCAAGACCTGTCATGTAAAGGTACAAGATCCCAATGATGAATGTAACTGTACTGTATACCTGAAATGTACCAATAAACTCAATGAGAGAAAAAAATATACATTTTAGGACTGGGGATTTAGCTCAGTGGTTCTGCCACCTGCCCCGCAAATGCAAGGTGCCAAGTTCAATCCCCAGTACAAAAAAAAAATGTACATTTTACTACAGCAGAAAGCAGTAGGGGAGAGGGTAAAGAAGGTCCAAGGGCTCTGAATTTAGAGGCAGAGCCAATTTCAACCAACACTTCCTAGATATAGGTCTTGTCTCACAAGAGAAGCTAAAGCTTATTAGAATACAGAACCTGGGGCCGGGGATTTAGCTCAGTAGTTCTGCCACCTGCCTCACAAGCACAAGGACTCGAGTTAGATCTCAAGTACCAAAAAAATAAATTAAAAAAATTAAAAATGAAAAGAATAGAGAACCTGCTATGGTCAAAATGACACCCTCATCTAAAGGAAAGTTGTAATAGGAAAGAACTAAGGGGTGCTTGTAACAGGAGACTGTTTACAGAGGTAATGGAGAGAATGTTTAAAAATGTATGTGGTGCTTTTTGGCAGGAACCTATTTTATTTTGCCTTGTTATAATTGCTTTTAGTCTTTTTGAGATCTTGGATTTAGGATGCCCATCTGAATTCAAATAATGAACTAAAGCTAGATGTATTTCAACTTCTTTCTAGACGTACTCTCTATTCATTGGCTGAAATCTTTCTTGGATTTTCACAATTTTACTCAGAGAAGTTAAGTAACTAATCCAGGACATCACAGCTCATAATTAGCAATGGGACTGGGAATCAAATCCCAGAAATACCTGTCTTGAAGCCCATGCTTTCTATTATACAATTCTGCCTCATGAGATATTGAACTGAGAATTGTAACTCAAGTTTTAATCGCCTTTCTGATGAGCTTTGGAAATTTGGGCAATCAGATCATTTAAGCTACATGATACTCAGAGTATGGTTTGTAAGATATAATTTTTGTTTTCATCCTACCCAATTTACAACATTTTGAAGATAAGATGAAGTAAAATATGTGGGAAATGTTTCAAGAGCACTGTGCAAACAGATACTTTAGGTGAGGAAAATAGGGCGAGGTGGTAGGAAATGAGAGTCCCTGACAATTGCTCTGTTGCCAGCATCAGGACCAAATGCAGATGGCTTGGGCAGGACATGGGAAGGAAAATGGAAAGATTGAAGGTACAATAGGAGCAGGAAAGGGCATGCAGGATACAGTCTAGTGCTGCAAAGATGGAAGAGAAAATGATGTGCTGGGTCAGAGTTGGAGTCTGGAAATGGATTAATCAGAGTGGAGGACTGTGGC